GTCATCCTCCTCCCCTTCCTGTCCCATCAAGAGAAGATGGCACATGCAGAATGTGGGCAAGCCCTTTCTCTGTTTACACCTGAACAATTTGGAATACTCTTCAATATACTTTGACACACATCCTCCTGCAGTGAAGAACAAAAAGACAAATCTCTCCCTTCAGTCCTCTGTGTGGACAGGATAGCATAATATGTTTTTTTCCACCTGGTAGAATCAGGAATCGAACTTGGGGATCAGCTCTGTGTGTGTGTACTGCCCTTCTCTGAGCACAAACCAGACCAGCCTTTCTCAAACTGAGATTCCCTGGCCTGCATCAGATCACATAAGACACTTGTAAAAAATCAGTCAATCAATCGATCAATCTAGCTCTCTAACCCCAGATCTATTGAACAGATTCTCTGGGGCTGAGGCCTTGGAATATGCATTTAAATAAGTCACGCTGGCTATTGTGTGTACAAACCATTTAGAAATACTGGCCTGTACTCTCCTTCTCACCTCCTTGCCTTTGCTTAAGCTATTTCCTTGGCTTGGAGTAGCGTTTCCTCCTCTGTAGAATTCTTACGTGATTTTCCAAGAGCTACTTCTTCCTAAAAGCCTTTCCAGATTCTCCCAAGTTGGAGTTAATTTTGTATCTTCATTATTGCAGTTATCAGTCTCCCTTGTAGTTTTGCTAGTTTTCTACCAAACACCAACCATTTAGAGGGCAGTGATTGCCAGTTATCTTGATGACCATCCCAGGCGCCCAGCAGAATACTTTGTGTATAATGGACACTGAAAGAATGTTGTTGAATTTGGATCGATTCCCTCCTGACTTTATTCCAGTAAACCATTCTGTCCTGACTTCCTCAGAAGAGCACAGATCTCTTCTGCGTATGTGTTATTAAGCTCCGGGTGATGGAGGACTGTCCCAGTGAACATGACCAGCCTTAGTTCCCAGCCTATCAGAATAGGGATGTGTGTTTGCGAGTGGCCGTGAGGAGTTGTCTGACATCCCTGTTCCCTCGTCATTCTCATCTTTGAATATTATTCATAAGGCGACTTGAAGGAGTCCACCAGAGTCCCAGTTAAATCATCAGCCATTAAGAAAAGAAAATGCTAGAGTCGTATTCTGGGTTGGTTTTACTTTCGGGAAGATGGGCTTGACCCTTCATCTCACTAACGGAGCTTCCAGAGCACGCCGTCGTGCTTGCCTGCCGGGACCCTAAGGCAGATAAACCGCATGCAGCTGCTGCTGCTGATGCCCCAGAGGCCCTGCATCCGTGTGAGGAGCAAAGGTGTAGCGGTGGTCTCCACCTCGTCGTCAGATGGTTTCTCCAAAGCCGCACTCTCCCTGCCAGTGATACTGTGGGCACTTTTGTGGTTTTGGATAACTTCTAATCCCATCCTGTGCTTCTTCATCAACTGGTTTACTAGCTGGGCATTGCTGAGACCATTGGCAATATAAAACGATGCACACATGGGAGCTATCCAGTTTTCTTATACACTGGAGGGTGGCAAAGAGAACAAGGTATTAGAGGCACCCGCAGGGTTGGATTAGCGGGGGTTAAAAGGGGTGTGGTAACTGTGGGTGGTAGCACATTAGGGAGTTTCTCCAAATCTTAGACCATCGACCCTTAAAAATATTACATTGACTATCTGACCTCACACCAGGCAGCAGGGTTAAGCTGAAAAGATCACTGGATTCGGCAGGTGCAATCAGATTTTCGTTGAGTAGGTTAGGATTTATGAAAGCAGTAGTGTTCATGAAAGTATGGTGGAAGAGACAAGAGGGGGGTGCCTTACAAATTTAGGGAGGCTCATCTTCTTGGTATTCCTGTCTTTAGATTTCTAATAGTAATGCACCAGGAAGAACTGCAGATGACCTAGTAAACATGCAGAATGCATCAGTGAGCAGACCTGAAATTTTGAATTCAGGGAGAGGAAGACCGCTCTCTTTCCCTGCACCCCTCCAGGCATTCAGGGATATACAGTGACCAGAGATAATGAGAAAAGGTCACTGAATTTGGGGAGAGGAGCTGACCAACTGCTAGAATAAATTTAATAGAAATTCATGGAGTAGGAGCTGGAGTAATACAGTTGAAATGGAGCTGGGAGAATGAAGAGGGTGCATATTGATCATTCCTTGAGCACTTAGCTTGGAAAAAAAAAGAAAAAGGTAATTGTATAAGCTGAATAAAGTTTGTGTTTCTATATATTACAAAAAAAAAAACAGATTACAATTCCAACACCCTAAGGAATTCCCTTGGGCTGACCTCTTGTAGTCAGACTGTCCGTCCACCCCTGACCCCTGCACCCATCCCTGTAGTTTTTTTCTTTTCCAAGATGTCATATAAATTTGGTCATACAGTATGTAAAAGACTGGCTTCCTTTATATATATGTGTGTATACACACATACATACATATATATATATTTATGTAAATTTTAAAAATATTTTAAAGTGCAAATTTAAAGAATCCCCGCTCTCTAAAACAAATAGAAGAAGCAGGAACCTGAGATGGATGTAGAGAAGGTGAGTTAGGAACATGCTGAAATGGAAACAGACGTCTATCTCATGAAGATGGTTTCAGTCCTCACAGGACCTAGGGGAGCTTACTGGCTTTGAACAAGTGGTGGACAGGATGGAGAGGTGGGCACTGGTGACCTTGACCAGTTAAATGTTTTCTTTGCTCAACTAGCCTCCTTTCCTTCTCTGACCTTTCTCAGTTCCCCACCCAGCTCCCGGCTGGTAGGGATGAGGGGAGAAATACACACACACACACACACACACACATACATACATAAATACGTTCATCTCCATTTTCAGAGCATAAGCTTTTCATTTATGAAGAAGTCATCAAACCTGTCAGATTCAACTTTGGATTTAGTTGAGGGCTATCAGATGTCACGTGGTGGCTCCAGGACTTGTAATCTAGAGTGGTACACTCGTTTCTCAGTCCAAGATTTATTTTGAAAATTTTTTCTTCCTAAATTTTTGCATTATTTCCCTTCAGATTAATAGAAATTTAAAAATTAAAAATGATAGAATGTAAACATTTAACTTGATTTCTAGAATTGGAATTTTTAGATGTAAAATATTAATAATCATCTCTGTACATGGTTTTTATACTTTGTTTTTGGTAGCATGAGTTTATTTTTACAAATTAAATTATGTATGTATAATTGTATTATAAAAGCACTCACTAATCTCATATTCACTGATTCCTCTGTATACTTATTCATTAGGAATGAACTGTGCTTTCGTATCTTCGGTTTTTTTCCCCCTGTAATTGTGACATTCAAAGCACAGACGATGTTATTTCCCCAAAGAGAAAACAAAAAGCAGGCAGGGTTTCTTGAGACATTTATCACCTTCATCAATTATTACCTTCACCTATTTTTCCCTCATGATGGTTAATGTATTCATGTCCTCACATCAGTTGACCGTGTATTCTGCCGCTGACGTAATTCATAGGGAGACGTAAGGAGATGTGACTGTATACCAAAGGTCTTCAAAGGACAGTGAAGCAGGCTACCTTTGGTGCTGGCACTTTTGGTTATTACACAATCTAACATATTACTCTTCTGCCATAAATAGAATTATTTTACTGTGTCTTCCCATTTGTCTGGAAGGTGATTATCTGATACTTTTCAAATATCCAGAAATTAGAATAAAAGCCTGAAAAGCCCTCCGAGTGGTCAAACTTTGTGGAAAGTAAATATAATAGACCTTGCGCCTATACTGTGGCAGTATGTGGACATACATTACAGTATGTGGACATATATTAATCACTTTATTCAGTCCCCGCAATAATCTTATTTGATAGTCATTGCTGCCACATTTTACAGAAGAGAAGATTGAAACTTTGGAGGTTACAGAACTTGTCTAAGGTCATACATCTATGGCTGGGGTTTCAGCTTAGTTTTGTGTGCCCCTCAAGATCCTCATTCTGGGTCCATTTACTCCCATATTCAGTCATTCACACAAACACTTTTTTAGTATTTACTCTATGTCAGGCTCTGGGGAACCAGGATGAAAGACAGATATACAGAATCCTAAGGAATTCCTTTATCTGTTTTTGGGGGCTACAGTAGATATGAAGCAGACTAGACAAGAGATAAGGCTTGAGGACAAAGACAGTATCTATTATATTTTCTGTTGCATCCGCAGGACAAGCACAGCACATAGTAGGAGCTCAACAAACACATGGTGAACGGATGAGTGGCACAGTGAGGAGCACCAGCCAGCTAGGAGTGAGAATTGAGTGTAGAGGAGACATAAAACCAAACAGTGGGACTGTCTTGGCCCATTTAGTGTTAGAATAAGCAGTTGCAGACCTGAGTAACCCCATGGGGTATGAGGAGCCGTCAGTGTGCTCACTGAGGCCAGAAAGATGACCTGGGGCCACCGAGTGACTAAGGCAACCCGGGCTCCGTGCAGCAGGAAGAGAGTTACTCATGAATGTGACATCCTGTTTAAACAGCAAGGAAGTATGTAAGACATTTCAGAAAAGTTTCCATAAAAATTAGCCCTTTTTCCCTTTAAAGTATGCTAAAGGGCTGAACTTCAGTGTCTTGGAAAAATCACAAAGGTGGAGGAGCTCTTTGCCTAACAGTATTGGATACAGGAGTACTACATGATCAGTTTGTTTTCTTTTCCCTGATAAATTGTGACATTAAATTTTCATGCCAAATGAATCTTTTAAGAAATTCAAGTTATATTCTTTGGAAGATACCTTATAAAGGACTCTATACTGTAGATAGCACGTAACAATCTATAGTACGTAACAAGTGAATAGGTTGCATAGAATAACAAAACAACAGTTTTTAAGTAATATTTGAAAGGATTATGATATGTTGAAGTAATTCATGTTTGGAGTATCATTTAGCTTTTCGTAAGGGAAAAAAACGGGGAAATTAGGAAACTACTGAAATGATTTCAATTTCATTATTCAACAGCATCGATGCGCTACTTTCTTGTTCCAAGAATGTATCTATTAACAGTGATGTTTTGCCTTACAGCTTTTCTGGGAGAAGAGGCTACAAGGACTTAGTGCATCAGATGTAACAGAACAAATTATAAAAACCATGGAACTACCTAAAGGTCTTCAAGGTATTATCCCAGTTCAGTTGAGCAGTACCTACTATGTGCCAGGCTCTGTGTTAGATGCAGTGGAGTCACACATGACTGAGACAGGTCTCTGCTTTGGGGACTGTACGCCTTGCTGGATATGTACCTCTTAGGTTTTAGTAAACCCAGAGGAAATGTCCATGAAAAGCTTGTATGGGGATGTTTCAGGACAATGTCCTACCTAAGATTTTTTTTTTCTGTGTATACATTTTTGGCTTTAGGTTAGTTAGGTTCATCATAGAAGTTAACCCATGTGCTGCTTTTAGAACCAAATGTAGCTGAGTGGCAGAATGTTCCAGGCTTCCTTCTCGAAGCATCATCTAGTCCCTGCACTTGCTCTTCCTCTCCTCCTCGTACCAAAAGAACAGCCAGCAGCTCTCCTTCTGCCTCTCCCCTCCACAAACCGCTGCCGCAGGTAGCAGTGGGAGCAGATGCCCACTGGTCCCGTGACAGCAGCGAGGGGGTTCTGGGGTGGAGAACTCAGTTGCTGGCCAGTGTGCTTATCAGTCATATGTTAACTCCAAGTTCTAGAGAAGCGTTCGTTTTCAAGTTAGAACTTTGGCTTTGAAATCTTGATATATTGTGGGTTGCTCAAAAATCCTCACAATTCATGATTAGAATATTGCCTCATCTCTTTATGTTCCTGGAAACTGTTGCTTTAACTAGGTTTAACAAATTAATTCTATTCATTTGGATATTTTGTTAGGTATTTGAAAAAGCTGTCAAAAGTGCAGGTACAGCATACTTGCATTGGCTTTTCCTTTGAAAGCCCTACACAAAGAAGATCAGTGTTGAGGTACGGATAGGAATTAATGTTAAAAGCTACGAGAGAACCTATTCCAGGACCCTAGGGATGCATGAATAGGAATATGTGAGGATGATACGACTTGAGAAGGGATGTAGATCATTAAAATAATTGACCTTGCTTGAGGAAATACAGCCAACTTTTAAAAAGTTAGTACTTGGAAAATGTATTTTTAAATTCTGTTAAAGTTTTATTAACATACTCAGGTGTTTTGTTACTATTTCTCAAATGTTGATTTTTGGTGTATAATAACTGAGTAGATACGCTGTTACCTTTTTCTGCTTTGGCTTGCGTCAGTTTTAAATAGCTGAACCCACATGCATATAAAAATATGAGTTGTTTTAGATTGCATAAGGTTTGCTCAGCGCGTCCAGAAACTTCCTTTAACTCGTGCGTGTTTCTGATTGCAGGAGTTGGTCCGGGTAGTAATGATGAGACCCTTCTGTCTGCTGTTGCCAGTGCTTTGCACACAAGCTCTGCACCCATCACAGGGCAAGTCTCCGCTGCTGTGGAAAAGAACCCCGCTGTCTGGCTTAACACATCTCAACCCCTCTGCAAGGCTTTCATTGTCACAGATGAAGACATTAGGTAAGGCAGCGTAGCATGACTTCAAAAACTTGTCCTTTGCACTTGGTACCTTTTATACTGCCCAGTGGGCTCAGTGGTACATCTAGTAAGTGGTGAATCAATCAAGAAGTTACGCGCGCGCGCGTGTGTGTGTGTGTGTGTGTGTGTTTGTTTACAGAGCTTTTGTGAAACTAATGGAAAGTGAAACAGGACGTTTAAAACAAATATGTGCTTGAAAAAGGTAGCTGTGCTGTGCGTGGCCGCGTCATCACGATGACGGTCGATCTCTCTCCGCATCATGTTTGCAGTGTCTTATGCAATCTGGGGTTCTGCCCTTCTGCTCTGAAGAACCCCTTTCAGTCATGCCTTTTGTGACTGCTTCTGCATTGGTTTGTCTCTCTTTAAGCAGATCAGAGCCATGCTACTTTAAGCTCAGCTGTGTTTTCAAAGTTCAGTTTACTTCTCTTGATTATGTTTATCTCATTAAGCTCAATTTAGAGATTTATTTATCTTTACTTCACCTTGTTTCAAGAACACACACACACACACACAGAAGCAAGATGAGAAGCAAATGAGAAGAAAGATGAAGCAGAGGGTAAAGCAATAAAACAGAGCCAGGAATGAGGAGCAGACACAAGCTGCACCCATCAACGTCTTTTACTCTTTCTAAGGCTGGGCCACAAATTAAGGCTTTAGCAGCAAATTATTTAATAATAGGACAGTGGGTATGCCTCACTATTTCTAGCCTCTGAATGTAAACCAGGAGGCTGACTACTAGAATATTATTCCTAGGTGAAACCAGCAGATGGCACTTTTGAATTAGAAAATATGTATTGTATTTGTATTTTTTAAAAATAAACCTATGAAAGTTGGCATGAGAATGTTTTTAAATATGTGAGTCTAACTAGGTTCATAATCAGAAAGCCTTTCCTGAGTTTTTAAGTCGTTCCTTTTGCAAAGACGTAGAATGGTTCAAAGTTGCATTCAGATGCCTTGATTACACAGGATTTATGATCGGTGTCATTTTTTAAGAAAAACAAACTGTAAAATCTAGGAAAGGAATCAACTTGCTCTTTGTATTATCCTTACCCCTGAGGAAGGAAATTACTCCTGAGACAAGTTCCCATCTGCCTTGGAATGCGTGCCCAGTTAATCAGCAGGGATTCCACTAGGTCATTATGGGTGTTGACTGAGGTTCTGAGTGATGTGATGGGAATGTGGAGGACTTCAACACCCTATCTTTTGATAGCAGAGGAAACTGTCTCAAAGCCAGATCTGGACGCTTGCCTTTTAGGGTAGACTTGTCTAACGAATTGTCCATTTGATCTCACTGTCATAACAGAAATTATGATGCAGACATTTCTCGTTGAATTAGTACAGGTTCAAAAAAATAACTGCAAATGGAACTGTTACCCTTTCTCCAACTGTGAAACCAATAATCTGTTCCTATTAAACCTTCAACTAAAGATCTCAACACTAAGCATGTAGTTTTTTCAGCAGTCCTGATACAGTTTCCTCTATGGGTGTATTTGTTTCCTGATATTGAGTAACAAATTCTCATCACCCTAGCAGCTTAAAACAATACCCGTTTATAGCTCTCAGGTCTGTGGGTCAGAAGTCTGGGCCAGGCGTGACTGGATTCTCTGCCTGGGGTCTCACAAAGCTGAAATCCAAGTGTCATAGTACCGCCTTCCCTTCTGAAGCTTGGGCTCCTCTTTCAAGCTCCTGCGGTTGTTGCAGAATTCATTTCCTTGTAGCTTTGGGACGTTGTCTCCTCTTCTCCTGTTGGCTATGGGATGGGGGCTGTTCTCAGCTGTTGGAGGCTGCCGGCAATAGCTCTCAACATATTCCCTCCCCCGCTTCTTACTGGAAGGGCCCAGCCCCTTTTAAGCCTCTTTTTGTTAGGTCGGGCTCTCTGTAATAATCCCTTCTGATGGACTCAAGGTCAGTTGATGGGTAACCTAATCATAGGATGATATCCCATCATATTCATAAGTTCTGCCTGCCCTTGAGGGGAGAGAATTTACTACAAGTGTGTACAGGGGCAGGTGGTGACATCTTGGGGACTGTGCTAGAATTCCACCCACCACATCACCCAGTGCTTTGATTTCGGCTTTCATAAATGTGGGAAGCAATATTCAAGACAAAAGCAAAGCCATGGCCAATGTCAGAGTTTAAGACATACTTCTCTCTTCCCAAAGCCAACAGCACCCTGCCTTCCGTTTTCTCTGTCTTCCTGAAGGGGTTACTTCGGGGCAGGTTGGGCAGGCTCTCACACTCTGTTACTAGGCGGGCGACACCGCCAGTGAGCCTGATACGCCATCGATCATAAACCTTGAGTCCCAGAGCCAGAGACAAGACTAACTGTACAAGAAGCAGACAGCGTGTCCTTCCCAGCCCTGCTCCACTGCGGGAAAATCTGCTCAACCCTAGTTTCTGTTGATACGCCAGAGGCTGCAGTGCTCCTCTGACTCCGGGACAGCCCCCCTCTTTTTGCAAATTCATTTAAAAGGTGGAAGTCTGAGCTTTTTTTCTCTTTGTGCTGTTTCTAGAGTTCAGTAAAGATGACCTTTAAGGTTTTGTGGCTCCACCATGTATGGTCGTTTTCATTCCCTTGGACTCATGAGATGAAGAGAAAGGCGACTTTACAACTGGCTGAGCGCCCAGGGGGTGAATGCTCAGGGCGTCTTGGTTGAGTCTTCTGGAACGTTGCCCCTCTGCCCTTCTGCTTGCCTGGCGCTGGGGCAGTGCTGCAGTTTGTCTCCCTCAACTGTTGATGGAGAAAATCTTTTTTTTTTTTCTCAGTGGAGCCCTCAGTATTCCTTGTTGCATCTCTTTCCTGTCACAGGCTGTTCCATCTCCTCCTCCTTCTCCATCCTGACCACCTTTCCTTTGGTCTCAGGAGCTGATTCATCCTGTTTTCTAGTCAGAGCTACCTCCTACCTGGGCCTTTGCCTCTCTCCTTTTCTTTTTTTTTTCCCCTAAGACTTTCACTTACCAGTCTTGTCCCTGCTCTTGAGTTTCTTCAGTCTTTAATTCTCCACTGGGTTCTCGGTATGAATTTCTATTTCCCATCTTTGTTTGCTGAAACTGTTTTAGGAATCCCTCTTGCCCTGTCAGGGAGCTACTCTCAATTTTTTCCTGCTTTTTATTATTTTTTTTAAAACAACCCAAAAAATTATTTATTATTATTGTATGACTTAATTATTTGGTGGTGGTGGGGGGAGGTAAGAAGGTTTGTTTATTTTTAGAGGAGGTACTGGGGATTGAACCCAGGACCCTGTGCATGCTAAGCACCACTTGAGCTATACCCTCCCCCTTTCCTGCTTTTTAAAGATACCGTGTATACCAGTAGACTTTCTTCCTGGGCTTTGGTTTTCTTCTGATGGTTCTGAAACTTTTTTATGACTTCGTGTCATTCACTCTCCCTTTTGAGGTCCCTTTACCATCCCTAAGACACAGAGAAACTTGTGGCACGTCCCTAACCTACTTGCCCATCTCGGGCGAAGAGCCTTCTCAGGGTCTGTCCCTGGTGTACAGGAGCAGAGGTCTTGGCTCCTCCTTGATGGCCAGCAGGTCTGCGGACCCAGGAGAGAGCTCCAGCTACCTCTCCCCTGACCTCATGCCCCCACCTCCTCCATCCTTCTCAGCGCCTCACTGCACAAATCTCTTTTCCTTCTTTATTTTTCCATACGACCTACCTGCTTTTATGTTATCATCCTTGATAGGAATAACCCTAACTCTTCACATACTTGAAGTTTTTGAAGTTGAAGAAAAAGTCACAGAAATAAATCTAGTGCTCCCGCAATTCTCTGTGAGATGAGGGACACCTGCTTGTCCGAAAAGCCCTCTTTTTGGCAAGACTCGTCGCCCATGTGGCTTGCTTTTGTGAGGGCAGAAGCAACTTCTGCAAAGTCTAAGGAGAAGGGAATGCATGTTTCTTGGGCACGTTCATGACTTTGAAGTAAAGAGAAACTATATCGGCAGCTTCGGCTTTCCATTACTTGCCAAGTTATCGGAGTCTTTTTTACTGTTTTTAAAAAGGAAACAGGAAGAGCGCGTGCAGCAAGTGCGTAAGAAACTGGAAGAAGCCCTGATGGCGGATATCTTGTCCCGAGCCGCGGACACGGAGGAGATGGACATAGAGATGGACAGTGGAGATGAAGCCTAAGATTAGCATCAGGTAAGCGGCACCAGAGAGACGCGCAGCTTCAGGCCTTTCATCTCCTTGCTTTGCCCTTGGGCGCCTGCTTAGGCGCTGGCTCAGGCGCCTTCTCCTGCGCGCGCGCGCTGTGGTTTCCCGCAGTCTGTGTCCGAGGACCGTGTCAGGGTTGCATCCTTTTGTTCTCATTATGTGAAGACGTCCACACCCCTGCAGCCACTCGCAAGGGATCCAGCCTCCTTTCTTAATGCCAGGTGGAAAACCTGCAAGGTGTCACTAGAGAAAAGCAGGGGACAGAGAAAAGGGCTCTGCCCTGGGGGGAGGGGCGGCTGCAGGAGGGGAAGGCTGTCACCTCCACCACACTAGCTGTCTGGGGTCAGCAGTCCCCTCTGTAAAACTATGGTCACAAAGTAGGCAAAATCCCTCTCTTTTTCTAGCGCAGATGTGATGCAGGGAGAATGAGAAGGGCATTTTAAAGTATAATAAATAATGGACCCTAAACATTACTAATTGTGATCCTGTCCTGAACTCACAGCTGAGTTTGACAGGCTCTGTTCTGTTGGGTACATAGTCTTCTTAGATGGTTACGTACGCCCCGATCTCCGAGGGCTCACGTGGCATCTTACTTCCTAGCTCTATCCTGCTTTGTTTTGGGGGCCATGTCTTTCTACCACCCCTAAGCCCATTATTTATTTGCATCCTTTGCAACTGAGCTGGGGTGAAGTTGGGAGGGAAAGAGAAAGAGCTGGAGGGAGGGAATGAGGGAGCAGCGGGACGAGAGCGTTCCTGTTGTCGTCTTCGAGCCCTTCCTCTCTGTCCTGAGAGTCAGTCTTGCGTTCAGTGCTGGGTCCTGGGGGCGAAGTGCTGGGCGCAGTTCCACAGCCCCTGGGCACATAGAACTTACTGTACAGTTGCATGGGACCAATGCTCCCCTAACTGTATAATTAGCAATTGTGATGAGCACGGTGAAGGGAAAGTGAAGGTACTGGGAGAGCTGATGGGGGAGCAGCTAATGTGACAGCAGGGCCAACTCGGCCTCTCTGGAAGGTGATGATTCCGTGAGGCTGAAAGGCCAGTAGGAGTGAGCAGAAGTTTGGGTGAACCATGTTCTCATCAGAAGAAACAGCAGGAAGGACTCAGCTCCTTTAAGGAACAAAGGAAAGATCACCACCATGGTTGGAATGCAGTAAGTCGAGGGAGGGTTAGGGTGCTCAGAGATGAATCCAGTCATGCTGAGGCTTGTGGATTATTGTGAAGGATTTTGAGCTTTTATCATTAAAACCACTGAAGCCAGTGGAAATCCACTGAAGGCTTCCAGATGTGGTGAGATTTGCTTATTGACAAAATCCTGCTGCATGAAAAGGAATTGGAGGAGGGAAAGCCTGGAAGCAAGAAGACCGTTTAGGAGGCAGCTGCCCCTCAGCAAGAGGTGATGGTGCTTCATGAGGGTCTTGGCAGTGGGTGAGGAGAAAAAGAGGAAGAGGCCGATTTGTGATGTATTCGGAGGTAGCCTCGACTGGACCCGGTGACTGACTGGTAGTGAGGGTTGAGAGCGGGAAGAATGACCCTGAGTTTTTCACTTGAGCCTCTCAGTGGATAGGAAGGGGTCCTGTTTGGTACAGGCACAGACTGAAGTCTGAGTTCATTGTTAACACGGTCTCTCCTTCCCATCAGTGCTTTTGTCTGAATTCAGGGAGTGGCCCATGTCACAGTGACACAGAAATCAGGCCGTAATGACAATGCCTTATATTTACAATATTCAGTGACAGCAGGAACATTTGATCACACAATTTCCTGACCACACAGAACCATTCAGAGATTGATCAGTCGATCTATCCATCCATCCATCCCTTTAGTAACAGATTGAGGTTTAACTTGTTACTTAAGATTTTACAATCAAGAGGAGTGCTACCCAGGTTAGAAGTGATTGCAAGAAAAAGCCCTAAAAACAAAGGTGTTAAAATATTTGGCTACAAATGAGATACAGTTTCAAATATATAAATAGTTCCGCTTTTGCAGTTGCATGGTATACCTTTCACCCAAGTGAAGCCATAATAAGACCTCAGCGTGCTTCTATCATCTCTAAGAGCTCTGAAGTAAAATAAATTATCATGAAATAAAGTAAATCTTTGTTGGTAGAAATTTTCCTAAATTTTCTCAAGATATGATTGGATTTGGCTTTGTCTACTATGTTTTTTTTCATTTGTATGCCCTATGATTTCTCTTTTTATGCTGATTTAATTAATTGTAGATAGAAAACATTTGCATAAGCATGTAAAGGGGTACATATGATTTCTTTGAAAATAAAGTGAGTATTAAAGTGAGAGAAAGCACTTGAAACGGTGAGGAGATATATGGAGCCCTTTTTAGGTACAGAACTATACCTAAACAGCTGTAAATAATGCTGTCAGGGCGTTCTGAATGCTGTTCTAAGTGAAATTCAGCCTCTAACTGCTTTTCCAGGTTTTGCTGACCTCACCTGAGAAATGCTTGGATGACTTAAGTTTGTTTGCTTTTTCTTCCAGGTAACTTTCGACTGACTTTCCCCAAGAGCAAATTCCTAGAATTGAACAAAAACGTTTCCACTGGGTTTGGCCTGTAAGAAAAAATGTACCCGAGCACATAGAGCTTTTTAATAGCACTAACCAATGCCTTTTTAGATGTATTTTTGATGTATATATCTATTATTCAAAAATGATGTTTATTTTGAGTCCTAGGACTTAAAATTAGTCTTTTGTAATATCAAGCAGGACCCTTAAGATGAGCTGAGCTTTTTGATGCCAGGTGCAATCTACTGGAAATGTAGCATTTACATGAGATATTTGTTTCCCCTGCAATTTTAATATTGAGCGGATCAGGAATACCAAATAAATTTCCCAATTAAAGATTATTGTGACTTCACTGTATATACACAGATTTTTATACTTTATTGAAAGAGGACGCCTGTACATTCTTCCATCATCACTGTAAAGTCAAATAAATGATTCTATTCACAGACTGATTGGAATTATTTCTGTCAAAGAGCACACACCATAAATGACAGCCTCCTTAGGGTTCCTGACTCGTGTTCAACTGTGATCTCTTGGCCTTCAGTTTGAAATGGAGGTGACAGAAAATAGTTGACATATTTGCAATACGCCGATGGATATCATGATAATTCTGCTGCTTTCACTTGAATTCTAAGTTGTCGTCTAGCATGGATAATTTTTTTTTCTTTCCTATAATGAGCACTTTTGTTAGTTCTATAAGAATAAAGCGTTTTCTTTCCTCAGGCATGAATTAGGTACGCAGGTACCCTTCAGGTGTTACTGGAAGTCCGTGTCTGTTTTTTCAGAACATTTCCCATTTTCCAGTGTCCACTAGCTTACAGGGTTAATAGGTGCAGGTCGGACCCTTTGCCGTAGAGAAATGCAGCTTTCTAGGCAGAGCTGCGTAATGAACCAGACTTTGCTAACTGGTACCCGGCCTCTGAAGTATGAACATTTTTTTTTCTGTTGAAACTCAAAAGCATAACTTTATTACCATAAATCCATTGATGTCTAATTACTAAAACTGGCATAGCGTTAAAAAATGAGTTTTAAAAATCCAACTATGCTGAAGTTAATTGGATGCCAAGGAAAGGAGGGAGTGGCTCCAGGCAAGTTTAAGCACATTTTGAGAAATGGAGCAAAAATAATATCTTTCTATAGGAAAGGGTTATATATACTTCTTAAGTCTGAGTTCTTTTAAAATTAGCCCCCCAAATGACGTGATCGCGAATGTGACCAATTTAGTATAAATGTCACCTGTGCATTTTTTTTTTTTAATCACTACCTCCAGCTCCCTTCCAGTTCCCGGGGAAGGGAGGAAAAGTGAAGGCAGTATGGCTAGGTTTGAGTCGCTGTCTCTCTAGACCTTATGCCAAACTGCATAAGAAACACCTTCTTGGCATTCCTGATCTGCATTCGGCTTTGATCTCTGGGCCTTAGGCCACCAATTTCCTCAGAGTAATCTTTCTGGCAAACTAGCAGACTGTGGGAAGACAAGTGGCAGAGGGTTCCTGCTCTGGACCCTTCAGACCGTCCCAGTTGGGGTGGCAGTGGGAAGCTAATACTGAGTTCTTTTTAAAAGCTCTCATGTCTAGTGAGAATGAATGTCCGAAGGCTTTTCTTAGACTCCCTCCAAGTCCATGATTCTTCCTTTGTAATCAGGCTGGGGCAAAACGCTTTTATAAACAACTTTTGTAAAACGAAACACACAATGTAAACACACACAAAACTTTGATTTTTGTTCTTATATACTTTGCTCAGGTAGAGAACAAGGTGTGAAAGCCATTACACGGTGTCCAGCTGGGAAACATCCCGTAAGTCAAGGGGTTCCCAGTATGCCCACAGGACGTGTCCAATATTAAATTCATCATCTTACCCTCTAAACCCACCACCATCTTGCATTCCCTAACTTGGATAAAAGCAAGTCATCTGATCCAGTTGCCCAAGGCAGAAGCCCAGGAGTGACCCCATTTTTTTCCCTTGCCTCCAGCACCCCTTCAGTCCAGTTAGAACTACTAACCAGATTTCCCACACCCACATCTCTTCTCCAGTCCTGCCACCACTCAACATGCAACCTCCTCTCCTCTCCTTGGCACTTTCAATGGCTTCCTTTTTTTTTTCCTTCTCCTTCCCTCTCCATCTCTCCTTTGTCTCCTCCCTATAGTCATCAGAATGGTCCTTGAAGCAAATGTGACCATCTCATTTCCCTGCTCAAAATTCCTCCCTTCTCTGTGTACCCAGTTTAGAGCGCTTTGAAATGGAGAGAACCTGTGTTGGAACCTGGTTTTGCCGTGTGTGTGACTTGTCAGGTTCCTTCATGTCTTTGAGCCTGTTCCTCCTCAGTGAACTAGGAATCACACCTACCTCATAGAGCCGTCGTGAGGACTGGACGAGACACTGTTTGTAAAGTGTTAGCACAGTGCCTGGCGCGTGGCCAGTGCTCCCATGGGAGCACGCTCTTGTTAGGATCCTCGCAAGGGTCTTTTCATAAGGCATTTGCTGATAACCCTAACTACCCCCAACTTAATACACCCGCGATACTTTATTTTCTGCCTTGGCATTCTGTTTATTTCCTTTGTAGAAATCTTCTAAATCAATATTTTATTTATTTGTTGACTTTTTGTCTCTCTCTATCTGCTAGAATGTAAGCTCCATGAGAGCAAGGATATGTCTGTCTTGTTCCCTGTTATAACCCCAGCGCTTAGCTTAGTGCCCAGCACACAGTCAGCGCTGAATAAATGTTTGTTGACTAAATGGACGAGTAATCACAAGGCTCTTCACGATCTGCTACCTGCCTACTTGTATAGCTCATCCTGCCACTGTCCCCACCGCACCTTCGGCTCAAGAAAAACCACATCACCTGCTCCTTCGAAGTGCCCCTTGGGCCTCTGTGTCTTTGCACCTGTCGTCCCCTTTGCCTGCCTGTCAAATGGCAAATTCCCGAGCGCTGGTCAAGTCGCAGCTCAGTGGCCACCTCCTCTGTGAAGCTGTCCCTGATTTCTCCAGGCAGATGTTCTTTCTCCCTCTTCCAAATTCCCACTGCACTTTGTAAATACCTCCGTGGAAGCACTTTACTGTATTGTATTGTACATTTGTTTGCATGTCTGTTTCTACTTTTAGTCTGTAAGCACCCTGAAAGCAGAAATTGCATCTTTTCATCCTAATGTCCCCAGAGCCTAGCACAGTGCCTGGCACAAAACAGTTTGTCAGTTAATATTTGTTGAATGAATTTGTGAATGAACAAAGGGTCTTGCCATTGGAAAAGTGTTGCAAGACATCTGTATTATCACAGAAAGGAATGCCCCTGGTGGCTTCCAGGGTATTTTTGTGTGTGTGTGAGTGTGTCTGTGCTAGAGAGGAGCTCTAGAAAGCATTATGTAATCTCTTTGAATATAAGATGACTGGTTTGAATTTTTTAAAGTTGAATAATATAGATCTTCATAAATAATTGCAAAAGATATCAAAAAGCTTTGTGATCCCTCAAATGCTACAAAGTCCAAAATAAATATTTGCACTATTAGTATTTCCATAGTGAATGCTATGCGAAAATGTACAGCAATAAATTTTGAAGCTTTAAAAATGTTTGTGTAAAGTCATCTTCAGTGACTTCAGACTTTGGGGTTTGGGCCCCCAGAGCTTCCAAGCTTACCCAGTGACACTGCTTTCATATGTTACTGAGACAATTGCTCAGACGTTCTGCTGGCGTGGTTAGTGAACAGAAAGGACTGACAGGGTTCTCCAAGGAATCAGGTGGAGGCCACACTGGGCCTCGGGAAGCCATAGCCTCCAAGCCTCCGCTAGGACCATCATGGCTCCCTTGTCCTGCCCTCCTCGCTTCTGGGATGCACATATGACCCCTCACTTGTCATTACATCATCGCTTCTAGCAGGATTAGCTCTGGGATTGTGAAACAGAGCAGCCAGCTATCAAACCTGCATGTCTCAAAGGGTCTGGGGTGGACTTTAAAATTTCAAGTTGCATACTGATTTCTCTAGAAGGGCACATGTAAGCGACTGTCAATTATTTGGTTTTTGTTTTTATGACAGGAGACACACATTTGTATTTCCTCTCATTTATACAGCATATTTTACTTCTCACTTCCACACATTTTATAATTCACAAAACACATTTACCTCCATTAACATCATGGTTGAATTTTAAACTACATAGAAGCCATGTCCTCTGCACACACTATCACCTCCATTTAAGAGTTGAGGAATCTAAGAAGCAGACAGTTAAATGAGCTCCTCAAGCCAGTAAGGTGCAGAGAGGGGCACGGGAACACAGAGGTGGTCCAAGTACAGTGTGACGGTGTCCTGAAAGCTTCCACTGGGCAGAGTGACTCTTCCTGGGAAGCTTGGCCCTTTTCAGTCTGAATAGTCAAAGCTTTCCGTTGAACTCCCCTGCTGAGAAAGCGTCACTGGAGCTACTCATGTTTTAGAAGAGGTGAGAAGGGATGCGGCTTCTTCGCTGCAGGACGCTGGGACTTAATTTCATCGGAGGGGTCAGCGTTTCCTTTCTGCTGTAATACTTTCAACTTTTTGCTTCACGAGCTTGATGCTGTGAGAAGTCAGGCAGCCAGAGGCAAGTGGACCGCCGGGCCCGGGGAAGGGGCGGCGGAGTCGGGGGCGTGCATCTCGGGCACGTGGGAGAGCATTCTTTAGCTTTTAACATTTGTTTTCGTCTCATCTTTTTGAGCTTTTAATTTCTGAGGGTTTCATTAAGCACAGAATATATGAGCAGAATAGTACATGTGTTTCGCTTATAAATAAATATCTATAAATTGGGGACATATGCTTCTTTTGTTTTTTGAAAGAGGTCCTTATTGAAAGAGTTTTGAGACCACCACTCCAGGGCAGGGCTCCTCATATGGGGTTCCGGTTCCCCGGAGTCAAGGACCCTCTTGTCTACCCTCCTGCCATCATTCTGACGCTGCTTTTTGTGCCCAGTTTTGTGATGCTGTGCTCTTCTCTAGGGTAGCGTCCAGAGCTTCCATGAAGTTCTCAGTAAGGAATGTGTCCCACAGTGCCTGGTGTCTGGTATGTATCTCATCAACTGTAGCAACTCTTTCCCTCAAAAAACACCCTGGTGATTTTTTGGGGGATTGGAATCTGTCTTGGGGGGACGTTATCCTGAACTTTGCTAACTGGACAGATACCTCTTGGACCAAGAGTGAACCAAAGTGGGAGATGTGTGTGTGGGTAGGGAGGTTGGTGGTCCGCTGTCAGGGTGCCTTGTTGATCACAGTTCATCACAGTGTGATTTATACTAAAGGGCCTTGGACCCAACCATAGCTAATTGTGTAAAAGTACAAACATTTGGAAACTTACGGGGAAGGATCGAAAAGCAAATGGTAGAATGTGCTGTTCATGATGGAAGTGACTGCCTTCTTTTAAAACCTTTCTCTCTCTCTCTCCTCTGTCTCCCCCAAAACGTAGAGTCTACTATACTTGCTATAATTGAGAAAAC